CCGCTATCTTCGGGCAAGGAGAATGAAAGGGAGTTGTGATTTGAAGGAAGCGGGTGAAAGATACAAGTTTCGATGGGATCGTGTGGTCTCCGCACGCCACGATCCCATCGTTGCTTTTCAACTAACTCTAATCACGACTTTATCACGATGGTTCAATTCGAAATATGATGAGCTCGAGCTAAGGAGCAGGAAAGGAGTTGGTCAAGAGGGTTCGATGGCTACAGGAGGAGGCAAGAGAGAGGTGAGAGTTATGCCCTAAGCTTCGACTCTGTCCTCCTTACGTAGCCGAATGAGGCAATGCAACGAATAAGGAAAGGAAATGTTCCAACGGAAGTTTCGATCGAGAAGGTGGCAACACCAAGTTGGCAAAAAATTCAACGGTATCACATGATTCGTGAAATCAGAACATGACAACAAATCGAGAAAGCGAAAGAAAGAGAAATTTGGATCTTACAAAACATATCTTCTAACGAGGATTCAATAAAATTCAAAGAATGTGAACATATTTTAATTTTTTTCTCTCTACTTTTTTATTAATCTTAATAAGTACTTTGCACCCAAAAAAAAAAGAGTATTTTAATTTCAAGTGAATTTCTTACTCATATTATTTTAATAAATCAAACCATAAATATGTTTCTTTGTTTGTTTTGGACATCATGATGTCAGATTTTCTATTAAATTTGCCTTTGGATGCTCAATAATCTTTTAAATTAATAAGGCGGCATACTTAAATATATTAGAATTCAGGGGTTTACATACATATCACATAATTTATATATATTTACATATTTACCATCTTAAACTTCAATTTTTATATACATGCCATTATTTGTTGTAACTTATTTCAACTTTTAAAAGTTAAAATAGTGATATTACTCACGTGATGTGTAGAACTGTCAAAATGACTCATTTTTTGAGAACAACTCGTGTTCAACTCGTTAAGAAGCTCATGTTTGGCTCGTTCGCTAAGTCAAAGAGCCGAACACGAACAAAAATTTGTTCGTTCGTGTTCGATTTTCCATGATTAACTCTTATTGTCATGCCATTGACAATAATGCCGTACCATTGATTGAAAACTCATCATGGAAGTGGAGAAATTAACTCCTATTGTTTTTTATTTTCCGTTCTCCCCTTCCATCAGTCAGAAAGACAATTACTTCATCTAATGATGAGTCGGTCATCACGGATGCAGCATATTCACAATGTATTTCATTTTTCAACCCATCCTCCTAGAAAATTCAACTTGCGAACACGAACAAAAATTTGTTCGTTCGTGTTCGGCTCGTTTTGGCTCGAAATAATACTAATAAATTATATACATATATATCTTTGATGAGTAGTATTTTTAAAAAAAAATAATTGTCTACAAGGTTACAAAATTTATAATCAATTAAAAGTATTATATAAGAAAATAGAATAAAAATTATTAAATTAGATTCAAATGATGTTTTAATATAAACAATAATTTTTAAATCTTGTCATAATCCTTAACATCTTATGACTACGTGATTAGAATTATTAAAATGATTGTGAACGCCTGGTGTCCGCCCCGAAAAGAAAGGGAGCCGAAAACGAACATATTTTTTTAGCTCGAAATATAAACGAGCCGAACACGAGCTGCACATGGGCTCGGTGTACCGATAGTGATGTGAAAGATTTGGGTGGCATGATTGCAAAAAAATAATGTTTAGGGGTTAAATGGATAAATACATACGAATTGAATGGTATGTATGTAAATGCCCAAAAGATATATAATAAAAAAATGACCATTGGCTGAGGGAATATTCTCGCGTCATCTGCTTCGCAACCGCCACGCGCGAATTGCGTCGTCTTGTGGGCCCCCACCCAGGGTTCCATCGGTTCCGAATATTCCATACGTGGCTCTGCCGCACGTGATCCCGCTTCGACTGCTCCGCCAGAGCATTCTTCTTAACCTGCTCCAACGTCACTGATTTATTTAATAAAATATAAATATAAAAAAATATTTTACATACGTGCCATAATTTGTTTCTCATTTATTTTTAGGTTAACTAATACTATTATTTTTAATAAAATATTAAAAAATCAAATTTAATAATTTTAATATAATGATGATGTGCACTCAATAATAATAAAATTTTAATATACGATAACGTGATGCAAAAAAATAATAAAAAATATATTTTATCCCACTAAGCAATACGAGTTAAATCATCGAAATTGACACGAGTTTGACTTAGTTAATAATCCAAAATATTTAACTTGTGTTACATTGCATGTTACGGGTTGATATTTGTTCGGCTTGCTAAGCATGTAACTTACATCAATCTTATTTCATTTGTCATAATTTTAAAATTATGCATGTAGCAAACTAGACCGTATATAAGTCTAAAAGTTTTCAAAATTCATTCTGCGTGACACCCTTTAGATCTTTTGGATCTTTAAGACGGATCGGTACACCATAATTTTATGTGATTGAAATATAAATTTTAAGTTTTTATGGACAAATTATAATATTTAAAATTCAGAGTGATTGATATGTAAAAACTCCTATGCTTTCTCATTGGAAAAAATATTACATCAGTACTACACATGTAGAGTAACGTGCGTAGCCAAAGAAATTCATGCGAGCCCCCCCACGACACTCCACGCGACAGGAAAAAAAAAACGTTGTGGTAACACGAGGAATATTCCCACCCCCCTCCCCCCATCCGTGTTATTCATGTGTTATTGTGTGTTATTCATGTGTTACTAATATGTTATTGTGTTATTATAACACCAAGAATATTCTCAGGACACAATAACACATGAATAACACACAATAACACCAGAATAACACGGGAGGATATTCCCGACAGAAAAAAAATGACACGGTAATATGGGGGAATATCCTCCCATGTTATTTATGTGTTATTGTGTGTTATTGTGTGTTATTGATGTGTTATTGATGTGTTATTGTGTTATTATAAGTTATTGTGTTATTATAAGATTATAAGACCAAGAATATTCTCAGGACATAATAACACATGAATAACACACAATAACACATGAATAACACAGGAGGAATATTCCCCGTGTTACCGCGCCGTTTTTTTCTGTCACGTGGTGTATCGTGCCGTGATTTCATTGGCTATGCATGTTACTCTACTTGCATAGTACTTATGTAATATTTTTTCTTCTCGTTGTTACTCATTCCTTGTTCATAGAATAAAGTGTTAAATGATTCCTTAGATTATTTATATGTGCCATTTTAGTCTTATTTTTTATAAAAGTATCAAATTAATTCTTAATTTCTATTAATTTCAGTTCATGTTAGAGGAATAGGAGAATTAAAATGGGCATTTTTATAAATTTTATGTTTTATATAAACTTTTTTAAAATAAATAAATGATTTTTACATTTTTCTTCTTGTTCTAATGTGAATACTTTCCGTGATTCCTTAGGTATGCCCCATGCACATAATAGAATGTTTAGAAAATTTAAATACATGCCCCTCAGTTCTTATGTATTTACAAATGTAGCATGTAAAGTTTAATTTTTTACATACTTGCCGCCCTGTATTTCGCTCTTTAAAATTAAAAATTATGAAACTTTTTTGAAATATGAAAGAATTGGATGGTATAAAGATAAAAATAAAAAAAATATTTTAATTTGCCTGACCGCCTCGACGCATTCCTCGTCATCAAAAGAATGGCTGAATGCTATGATACGAGCCCACAATCATCTTCAATGTGTTTAATCACTCGATCCCGCGCCGCAAGACAGATGCACTTCTGCGAACTCGAACCCATGGCTCGAGGGGACTCGTACTAACAATACAGTTGCGAACCAAAGAGCCACGACGATATGTATAT